AATTTATTTTGTGATTTCCTCGCTTGATTTTCTTTGTGGTTTCATTGAAGTAAGAATTAATTTATGTTTTTCGGAGGCGGCCATGAACGCCTCTCGAGTGGAACGGAAGAAGGCACGGAGACGAAACAAAGACATACAGTACCTGTATTTGCTGAGACTGTGAAAACCATTCATAAAGTCTGCGTTTAAAAAAATAATAAAACCACAACCACAGCTCTCATTTTTTCAACAAATACAGGTGCGTCTTTGTCCGTCTCCTTCCCTTCTTTTCTTCCGGTCAACTCAAGAGGCGTTCAAGACCGCCTCCGAAAAACACAATGACATTTCCTTTATCGAAGCTCCAACAGTACGACCAGATCAGATAAGATAAGAAAACCTTTAATAGTCTCACAATGGAGAAATGTCCACTTCACAGCAGCAAAGTTATGAGAGGAAGAAGTAGAAGAACAAAATAGCAGATGGCAGCCACTCTCGCGGCGCCATCTTGAAGTCAAAATAACAACAAGATGTCAGTCATAGTTATTTATTCCTTTGTTGTGTATTCACAAATGATGAAATCACAAAATAAAATCTGTAGGGGGGGCCACAGAATTGATTTTGTGATATCCTCGCTTGCTTTTCAGTTTTGATGTATTATTTTCAATTTTTGTCGTTTCATTGAAGTAATAGTTAGTTTACGTTTTTCGGAGGCGGTCTTGAACGCCTCTCGAGTCGAACGGAACAAGGCACGGAGACAGACAAAGACGTACCTGAATTTGTTCAGACTGTTTTAAAAAATGAACACCACTGCTCTCCTTTTTTCGGAGCTGCAACACAAATTTATTTAATAAAGCAGCGACACAGTTCACTGAACAGACAGCAAGTTATAACATTGGAAGCATGTCTCCGGGAAGGAGCCATCTTGGAGTCAACGTATTACCGTAATGCCCATACAAAAGACGCACCGGATTTTAAGGCGTTCGGTGAGCTTTTCAGAAAATGGACAACTTTTTGGTGCGCCCTATAGTGCGGAAAATACGGTAATTCCTTTACCTTGGCAGCTCTCATTTTCTCCGTGTCCAGATCATTTGTGAACGTGAGAAAATCCCGCCATTCTAGGTGTAGCTCCAAAGTAACAAAACCAGGGCACCGTTTCCAAATGACGGGTGTTTAATTGTGTCTTTTGGGTTGCCTTTGTACACCAACACCGTGAAAACTGTTGGTAAAATAAAACACAATCAGCAATTTACAATCGAGAAACAATATAAGAGGCTACTACAAAAATGTGGGCTAAAGCTAACCTCATTGCCGCTTGCCACTTCGGAAGTCTTGGGCAACAAAAAATACACTTTTGGTTTCTACATGACAAAATTACAATCAGGTCTTACATTTAGTTACATTTACACAGCCAAATAAATCACAATTTACCTTCAACAACGAGCCAACAGTCCTTATAGCTGCTGCTCTTCGTATGTCTTGCGTTGGAGTGTGTACGTCTCTGGGCAAAAAACACCTTAATACAGCGCAAGTCTCGCGATAGTCGCGATAAAATCAAAATAACGAAACTTAATTTTTACAAAATAAATATTTCACAACGTGAATAAATAATGTCCATAAAACAAACAGAAAATGTCCTCGTCGCCTTGAAGTTATAACAAAATATTATTCATTTCCAATTAAACTATACTGATGACACTTACACTAGGAGCAAGAGTTAATGTCTTCCGTCCATATTTACATGGTGTAAAATGTCAACTTTCACAGATGGAGAGGTGCGACATTCAGCTGTCGCAACGAGATCCACCGATGAAGATGATGGAGGTGGTAACAGTACCAGTGAGCTTATGGATCACCTGTATCAATGGGAAAATCAGAAGGGTCACAGATATGAGGCGGAAATGTACGAGGAAAAACTGGAGAGGAATGCTCGGAGGGTGAATCATGGGTTGGAATGTAGGTACGAGGGGTGCGGAAAAGTGTGCAGGAGTATAGCTGGTCTAACCATGCACGAAAAGCGGATGCACCGCAGGAACGATGAACAGGTGAAGTTTGAGTGTGGGAAATGTGGGAGGATGTTTGGGTCGAAATTGAATATGATAAGTCACGAAAGGAGTTGCACGGGAGGAGCGTATGAGGAGAAGGGAGAGAGGAGACAGTGTGGAGGGTGTGAAAGGTGGGTGACAAAAGCAAACTATGCCAGACACGTGAGAGGGTGTGAAAGAGTGAAAAGAGAGAATGAGGAGGAGAGGGGAGGAAGGAAAAGGGACGAAACGAGCGTGATGCGTGGAGGGGCAGTTGGGGGAGGACGAAGAGCAATCGGGGAGGGGGGTCGTGGAGGGAGAAGGGTGGCTTGCGAGAGATGTGGGAAGGAATTGTTGGCGGGGAACCTCTCAAGGCACCAGTGGGACTCGTGCCGGGTGTGGGACCCGGGAGTGGGGGCAAGTCCCCGACGGGGGCCGACTGCCCAGGATCGGATCGGAACTTAGACACTGATGATGACACAAGTGATGTTTCCGGCAGTGAAGATACAGGTAATTTTTTTTGTCTGACTTGGATCCTCTTTCGCTGTAGTATTGTAGAGATGAAAGTCCTCCGGATTTTCCCGGAATTCCAGATTTTCAAATGTTCATGAAATTTCCTCTGGAAAATTGAGGAAAAATTGCCTGAAATTAATCCGGATATTAGTTGACAACATTGAACGAACATGCGTTTGAGTTCATTGTTTTGCTTTCACGAGCGTAGCCATGTTGAGGCACAAACACTAGTAACAGCAACACCCCTTCCCTCGCATTCTCATGGCCTCGCCATATTTCGGAGATTTTGAAATTTCGGCAAGAACAGAAGCCACAAAGGGTGCACGTGTGCACACAAAAGGCAGATTTACAATGTCGAGTATTTGAATGTTTTATGTAAACCAATTGAATGTTTTGTGGAAACGTTTTGTGTAAACTTATTCATGCGTGATCGGCCAGGTACGGCTCCAGCGCAAACAGGTAGACAGGCAAACTGACATACATGCAATAGACGCGAGTGTTCGGAACACGTTCAAGTGGTCACGGTTTGAGGAAAAGGACTTGAACGGAGACTTTTTTGTCCGACTACATTAGAAAGGTCGACAAACCTGGTAAATCAGTTAAAATTTTACATATATATATATATATA